CTACTACTACCAGTTTTCGGGTATCACTGCCTACTACTACCATGTTTTCGGGTATCACTGCCTAACTACTACCATGTTTCGGGTATCACTGCCTACTACTACCATGTTTCGGGTATCACTGCCTACTACTACCATGTTTCGGGTATCACTGCCTACTACTACCATGTTTCGGGTATCACTGCCTACTACTACCATGTTTCGGGTATCACTGCCTACTACTACCATGTTTCGGGTATCACTGCCTACTACTACCATGTTTCGGGTATCACTGCCTACTACTACCATGTTTCGGTATCACTGCCTACTACTACCATGTTTCGGGTATCACTGCCTACTACTACCATGTTTCGGGTATCACTGCCTACTACTACCATGTTTCGGGTATCACTGCCTACTACTACCATGTTTCGGGTATCACTGCCTACTACTACCATGTTTCGGGTATCACTGCTCCTACTATTACCATGTTTCGGGTATCACTGCCTACTACTACCATGTTTCGGGTATCACTGCCTACTACTACCATGTTTCGGGTATCACTGCCTACTACTACCATGTTTCGGGTATCACTGCCTACTACTACCATGTTTCGGGTATCACTGCCTACTACTACCATGTTCGGGTATCACTGCCTACTACTACCATGTTTCGGGTATCACTGCCTACTACTACATGTTTCGGGTATCACTGCCTACTACTACCATGTTTCGGGTATCACTGCCTACTACTACCATGTTTCGGGTATCACTGCCTACTACTACCATGTTTCGGTATCACTGCCTACTACTACCATTTTCGGGTATCACTGCCTACTACTACCATGTTTCGGTATCACTGCCTACTACTACCTAATGTTTTCGGGTATCACTGCCTACTACTACCATGTTTCGGGTATCCTGCCTACTACTACCATGTTTCGGGTATCACTGCCTACTACTACCATGTTTCGGGTATCCCTGCCTACTACTACCATGTTTCGGGTATCACTGCCTACTACTACCATGTTTCGGGTATCACTGCCTACTACTACCATGTTTCGGGTATCACTGCCTACTACTACCATGTTTCGGGTATCACTGCCTACTACTACCATGTTTCGGGTAATCCTGCCTACTACTACCATGTTTGGGTATCACTGCTACTACTACCATGTTTCGGGTATCACTGCCTACTAACTACCATGTTTCGGGTATCACTGCCTACTTTCTACCATGTTTCGGGTATCACTGCCTACTACTACCAATGTTTCGGGTATCCCTGCCTACTATACCATGTTTCGGGTATCACTGCCTACTACTACCATGTTTTCGGGTATCCCTGCCTACTACTACCATGTGTCGGGTACACTCACTGCCTACTACTACCATGTTCGGTATCACTGCCTACTACTACCATGTTTCGGGTATCACTGCCTACTACTACCATGTTTCGGGTATCACTGCCTACTACTACCATGTTTCGGGTATCTCACTGCCTACTACTACCATGTTTCGGGTATCACTGCCTACTACTACCATGTTTCGGGTATCACTGCCTACTACTACCATGTTTCGGGTATCACTGCCTACTACTACCATGTTTCGGGTATCACTGCCTACTACTACCATGTTTGGGTATCACTGCCTACTACTACCATGTTTCGGTATCACTGCCTACTACTACCATGTTTCGGGTATCACTGCCTACTACTACCATGTTTCGGGTAATCACTGCCTACTACTACCATGTTTCGGTATCCCTGCCTACTACTACCATGTTTCGGGTATCACTGCCTACTACTACCATGTTTCGGGTATCACTGCCTACTACTACCATGTTTTCGGTATCACTGCCTACTACTACCATGTTTCGGGTATCACTGCCTACTACTACCATGTTCGGGTATCACTGCCTACTACTACCATGTTTCGGGTATCACTGCCTACTAACTACCAGTTTCGGGTATCACTGCCTACTACTACCATGTTTCGGTAATCACTGCCTACTACTACCATGTTTCGGGTATCACTGCCTACTACTACCATGTTTCGGGTATCACTGCCTACTACTACCATGTCTCGGGTATCACTGCCTACTACTACCATGTTTCGGGTATCCCTGCCTACTACTACCATGTTTCGGGTATCACTGCCTACTACTACCATGTTTCGGGTGTCACTGCCTACTACTACCATGTTTCGGGTATCACTGCCTACTACTACCATGTTTCGGGTATCACTGCCTACTACTACCATGTTTCGGGTATCACTGCCTACTACTACCAAGTTTCGGGTATTACTGCCTACTACTACCATGTTTCTGGTATCACTGCCTACTACTACTATGTTTCTGGTATCACTGCCTACTACAACCATGTTTCTGGTATCACTGCCTACTACTACCATGTTTCTGGTATCACTGCCTACTACTACCATGTTTCTGGTATCACTGCCTACTACTACCATGTTTCTGGTATCACTGCCTACTACTACCATGTTTCTGGTATCACTGCCTACTACTACCATGTTTCTGGTATCACTGCCTACTACTAACCATGTTTCGGGTATCACTGCCTCTACTACCATTTTCGGGTATCACTGCCTTACTACTACCATGTTTCTGGTATCACTGCCTACTACTACCATGTTTCGGGTATCACTGCCTACTACTACCATGTTTCTGGTATCACTGCCTACTACTACCATGTTTCGGGTATCCACTGCCTACTACTACCATGTTTCTGGTATCACTGCCTACTACTACCATGTTTCGGGTATCACTGCCTACTACTACCATGTTTCGGGTATCACTGCCTACTACTACCATGTTTCGGGTATCACTGCCTACTACTACCATGTTTCGAGTATCACTGCCTACTACTACCATGTTTCGGGTATCACTGCCTACTACTACCATGTTTCGAGTATCACTGCCTACTACTACCATGTTTCGGGTATCACTGCCTACTACTACCATGTTTCGAGTATCACTGCCTACTACTAGCATGTTTCGTGTACCACTGCCTACTACTACCATGTTTCGGGTATCACTGCCTACTACTACCATGTTTCGGGTATCACTGCCTACTACTACCATGTTTCGGGTACCACTGCCTACTACAACCATGTTTCGGGTATCACTGCCTACTACTACCATGTTTCGGGTATCACTGCCTACTACTACCATGTTTCTGTATCACTGCCTACTACTACCATGTTTCGGTATCCCTGCCTACTACTACCATGTTTCGGGTATCACTGCCTACTACTACCATGTTTCGGGTATCACTGCCTACTACTACCATGTTTCGGGTATCACTGCCTACTACTACCATGTTTCGGGTATCACTGCCTACTACTACCATGTTTCGGGTATCACTGCCTACTACTACCATGTTTCGGGTATCACTGCCTACTACTACCATGTCTGGCCAAATATCAATAATCTTCCACTCGCAGAATTTGTAGTCCACCAATTTTTTATTGTTTTACTTATGCAACCTTGTCACAAAACTCCAGGATTTCTTTTCACTAACCCTGAACTATTTGCTCCTAAAACTGGACACACTGTAAGAAGTTAAATTAGTGGCTAATAGAATTCACAGCCAATGAAGCATAAAAGTGTGTGTGGGGAGAGAAAGTGAGTGTAGACTCGGAGAAGCTGAGGCTGCAAGCCACACTGAAGGGTCTTAGGTCTAGTCTCAGACGGAGACGCGGGGGCGTTCACCTCCGGAACCCTCTCCAGGTATGCTCCAGATATACTTCAGGTATGCTCCAGGTATTACTACCCAGTAAATTACCAGTGATAAACATTATTCGACTAACCGGTGTAGTAAGTATGTTGCTTGGTAAGTCAAAGATAAAGTATCTCAGTAAGTGCCAAATTTTTTAAAAGGACTCATTAACACATTTAACCATTGTGAAGGATGCAGCGCAGTATCCTCCCACACCTTACTTAAAGCTTAATATATGTTAACCATTGTGAAGTATGCGGCGCCAGTATCCTGCCCACACCTTCTGAAACATTAACACATGTTAACCATTGTGAAGTAAGCAGCGCCAGTATCCTGCCCACACCTTCTGAAACATGGGAAGAAAATTAGAGAAAGTGCAGAGCTTGTCAAGGTGGCTAGTCCATAAATAAAGTAAATGAAAACGAGAGATAAAATAAAGATGTTTTTATTACGAACACATGTAAAGAATGACCTGTGACCTGGTCATAATGGGCTTTTGGAGCAAAAAAACTCAGCAGTAAAATTAAACTTATATTCCTTTCACTAGATATATATACAATTATGTACACTATGTACAGGAGTTGAATATAAGCGTACCACACGGGGACAAAGACTGGCAAAGACAGAAGCCATAGAGAGCACTGTAATCAACCAGCTGCTAGGCAAGTCTGGCAAATGCTGACTAAGTAAACCACGTCACCTCAGCATTTGGTGGGCTCGCCTATGATTAGACAATAAACCAAGGTACTGATTTAACGACCGGTACACTAAAAAAATCGTTAAACCCTTAGCACCTGGTTCACCAAGTGAGAGGCAGCCTATATGAGAGTGTGTACATACGCCGAATAAACTGTAACATACTCTTTGCATGCCACAGTTTTCATTAAAAGACAGGAAGAAGATGAAATATGTGACAACAATATACACAATAGTCAGAGTATTTGAACGAATCTACATGAGTAAAAATCTACATGAGTAAAAGAGAGCAGAGTTGAAAAGACAAGCGACACAGATGAATCACAGGTGTGTCAAATAAGATTTCTTCAGAAACAGAGAGGTCAAGTAGCAGAATAACCGGCTCAAAGAGGTGATGATGGTTGACCCCCAAAAACATCATAAAGACCTGAGATTATACGTCACATGAGACTAACATGACGAGGGTCTAGGAGCTGAGAGTCAACACTTGCAACCAAAAAATAAGTCAAAAAAAAAAAGTTAGCAGTAAATACAGACAAAAAAAAATATTACATGTTCCACCATTACTTTTCACTTATTTTTTTTTTTTGCTATGTCTTCTGCAGCGGCGGACCTGCTGATGGGCGTACTCTTTGGTGATCGTGGGCGACGGCAGGATGTCAGGACCAGGGGCAAGTTTCACTCCTATGCCCTACAGTGGGCTGCTTCCTACGTCTGTACCTTCGCCGGGATCCTTGCACTGGTATCCTCTGAGGTGAGTTGCTCTTTGAGTGCTGCCACTACTTTCCCACTCTTCTATACCTCTTATATATATAATAATATATATATATATATATATATATATATATATTATAGATATATATATATATATATATATATATATATATATATATATATATATATATAGTATATAATAATAATACATAATTATACCATATACATAATATACAATACATATATATTACATATATATATATATATAATATATAATATATATATATAATATAACTATATATAAATATTATTTTATTTTTTTATTATCACACTGCCCGATTCCCACCAAGGCAGGGTGGCCCAAAAAAGAAAAAACGTTCAACCATCATTCACGCCATCACTGTCTTGCAGAAGGTGCTTTACACTACAGTTGTGTTAAACTGCAACATTAACACCCCTCCTTCAGAGTGCAGCACTGTACTCCCATCTCCAGGACTCTTGTCCGGCCTCCGGTTTCCCTGAATTCACCTTCATAATGTTACTTTGCTCAACACTCCAACACACGACAAGTATTAAAAAACCATGTGCCTCCATTCACTCCTATCAAACACGCCCATACGCATGCCTGCTGGAAGTCTCAAGCCCCTCGCATCACAAAACCTCCTTTACCCCCTTCCCTCCAACCCTTCCTAGGCCACCCCTACCCCGCCTTCCTTCCACTACAGACTGAACACTCTTGAAGTTATTCCTTTTTCGCTCCATTCTCTCTACAGTCCGAACCACACCTCAACAACAACCCTTCCTCAGCCCTCTGGCAACAGTTTTTGGTAATCCGCACCTCCTCCTAACTTCCAAACTACGAATTCCTCTGCATATATAGCACACCACACATTGCCCTCAGACATGACATCTCCACTGCCTCCACCTTCTCCTCGCTGCAACATTCATCACCCATGCGTACACACCCTTATAAGAGGCTGGTAAAACATACTCTCATACATTCCCCTCTGTTTGCCTCAAAGCAAAGTTCCTCTGTCGCCACTGACTCCTAAGTGGCACACTCACTCACTCTTTTTTCCCGCATCATTCTATGATACACCTCATCTTCATAGACCCATCCGCTGACACGTCCACTCCCCCAATATCTGATAACGGTCACCTCCTCCATACTCTTCCCATCCAATCAGATATCAATCTTTCACATCACCTAATCTTTTGTTATCCTCATTACCTTCTCTTTCCTGTATATCACCTTTAATTTTCTTCTATTGCGCACACCCTACCAAATTTCATCCAACAATCTCTGCAGCTTCTTCTCTCCAGAATCTCCCAAGAGCACAGTGCCATCAAGAAAGAGCACTGTGACAACCCCCCCACTGTGTGTGATTCTTTATCTTTTAACTCCACGCCTCTTGCAAGACCCTCGCATTTACTTCTCTTACACCCCATCTATATATATATTAAACAACCGGTGACATCACACATCCTTGTCTAAGGCCTACTTTTACTGGGAAAAATTTCCCTCTTTTCTACATACTCTACTTGAGCCTCACTATCCTCGTAAAAACTCTTCACTGCTTTCAGTAACCTACCTCCTACACTACACCAGATACACCTTGCAACACTGCCACTTGCCCCCCTATCCAACCCTTCTAAACGTCTTTCCAAATCCATAAACGCCACAAAGACCTCTTTAGCTTATCTAAATATATATATATATATATATTATATATTTATATATATATATATATATATATAAATTATATATAATATATATATAGATATATATATTATAATGTATATCAAGAAGATAGTGCCCGAACGCTTGAGAGACTTGTTAGGAGCTCAAGACCCCAGGTTTTACTGAAGCAGCAATTCGTGGGACACCCTAAAAAAAAAAAAAAAAAAAAAAAAAAAAAAAAAAAAAAAAAAAAAAAACAAAGACTCCTTCCTCCAGTAAAGACCCAGCTCTCCCTAACAGCACAAACAGTCCCCTGGGAAAAACCGATCATGGAAAAATCGCCACCACAATGGCTCTCCAATGCGTCAGGAAAGAACAAAAGCTCGTCTCCTGGACCGTGAAGGCACCACACTCAGGTGATTTCCCCTGGTAGCTGTTCCCAATTCCTCCCTGGGCACACCGTCCTCGAACCCACAGGCCATTCGATTGGTGTTGCTCTTCGCCTTACCGCCCCCCATCCTCAACCGATCATAGGTGTATTTGCGGCAGGGCGACAGCTTATCAATTCGACTCCATGGTCTCGTGTGCCACACAGCAGAAGGAAGTAATGCCCAGACCATGAGGAGATCAATGAATAATAAAGAGAAGCCTCGCCAAGCCCGTTGCCCCAGCTCAACGGGAACACCAAAGTACAGAGGTCTGATGGAAGTCCAAAAGCGCTGTTGGAGCCACTATGCTACCTGGAAGGATGGAAAAGCAGCATGCTGGGACTACACCTGGTGCTGCCACATTGGCAGACACCTATTGCCATACTCTGTATTGAAGGGTGGAGCGCCACCACAGGGAGACCCAGAAATCCGAAAATATGAAGACCTTCCCCCCTTCTATAAACTTCATTCCAATAGGGTCGGAGACCCTTGGAGCATGGGGCAAGTGTGCTCTAAAGTTCCCCTCAAGAGAGCTGGGTGAAAAAGCTCATCATAGAAACCAGAAGGAGGACCACAGGCACCACTTCCTCTTACAGAGACTCGTGTTGCGAGCCAGCAGAGTAAATGCATGCAGCATTCTGGGCACGGCGGCCCACCCAGGGGAGCTGGATCAAGTATTCGAGATGTAGCTCGAGTTTACCTATGTGTTTTACTTTGTATCATATTTTTGTGAATTTTTTTGTCAATGTATTTTGACTTTAAATTAAAATATATTATATAAATATAAAATATATATATATATATATATATAATATAAATAACATATATAGAATAAATATATTTATATATATATATATATATATATAATATATATAATATGTCGTGCCGAATAGCAGAACTATGCGATCTGGTTTAAATAGCAACGCTCATCTTGCCATATAGGACAAAGTGAAAATTTGTTGTATGCAATAATTTGCCAAAATCATTCTGAACTAACGAAAAAAATTATATTTCACTGTGTTTGCTTAGTATTAAATTATTGTTAAACAATCTAAAAATATATTAGTTGGGTTAAGACTAAAATAAATTGTGTCTTGTTTATAATAAGGTGTAGGTAAGTTTCCTAAGATTCGTTTGGAGCAAAATTAAAATTTTTAACATTAACATTAATGAAACAAAAATATATCTTTAAACGTATAAGAGAAATTTTAGAAAGGACTTAATTTTAAATGAGGTTCTTGTTATGTGACCAGATTTTACATATGCACACTCTATATATATATAATATATATATCGAACTATATATATATAAATAGATATATATATAATATATATATATATATATATAAATATATATATATATATAATTAATATATATATTTATAATATATATATATATATATCTATATATATATATATATATATATTATATATATATATATAGACGTGGCCGAATAAGTAAAATTTGCGATTTTTGGCTTAAATAGGCAAGAGCCTCTTTGTCGATAAGGCAAGCGAAAATTTGCGTAGCAATAATTTGTCACAAAAATCATTCTGAACCTAACGAAAAATAATATTTCATTGTCCTTTGTTTATTATTATATTATTTTAAACATATCTAAAAATATATTTTTTGGATTAGGCTAAATTACAGCCGTGTGTGTGTGTGTGTGTGTGTGCGTGTGTGTTGTGTGTGTGTGTGTGTGTGTGTGCGTGTGTGTGGTGTGTGTGTGTGTGTGTACTCACCTATTTGTGGTTGCAGGGGTCGAGTCCCCCTAGCTCTGCCCGCCTCTTTCACCGGTTGCACTGGCCCTCTCTCTCACCCGCTCCAATGAGCTTTATCAAACCTCGTCTTAAAACTGTGTATGGTTCCTGCCTCCACTACGTCATTTTCTAGGCTATTCCACTGCCTTACAACTCTATGACTGAAGAAATACTTCATACATCTCTCTGCTCATTTGTGTCTCCAACTTCCAAGTTGTGCCTCTTGTTTCTGTGTCCCCACCCCCTGGAACATCCTGTTCTTTATCCCACTTGTGTGTGTGTGTGTGTGTGTGTTTGTGATTGTGAAAGGTTTCGCACATATAGCCGGCTTTTTCAGTCGAATACAGACGGGGCAAAAGAAGCAGAAGATACGTAAAGACGATGTAATTAGTCCATCAACTTCGAGAACCTAGTTATGAGGTGGTCAGTCCCTCAGCCTGAAGAAGAGTTCTCCATAATCTGGAACAATGATCCAGACTGTAGAGCACGAGTGTCAATCAAGGTTGGTCTGAAGAAAGGGAGAATAGCTACAACAGTTTAGTAAAAACGTTGTGCGAGTGTTTTTGTGTGTAAGACGTGGCGAACAACCTAAAAACAGAGTCTCTAATTACTTGTGCGTTATTTCCTCTCTTATATCACGCCAGACGTCGGTGTTCATCCTGACGTTCATGTCACTGGAACGTTACCTGTACATCAGTGAGACGCTGGACTCCAGTACGTTGTCTGAGAAGAGTGCCAGGATGTGTCTTTCTGTTATCTGGCTCACTTCCATCAGCCTGGCCCTCTTCCCAAGTGAGTCCCATTCAAGATACCTGTATTACAGTGAGTACACGATAACCTTACTTTCAGTGAATACTCATGTACCTGAGATACAATGAGTACACAAGTACCTGGGCTACAGCAAGTACTCAAGGACCAGGACTGCAGTAAGTACTCACATACTTGTGTTACAGTAAATACCAAGGAAGCTGGGATACAGTGAGTACTCAGGAAGCTGGCATACAGTGAGTACCCAGGAAGCTGGGATACAGTGAGTACTCAGGAAGCTGGCATACAGTGAGTACTCAGGAAGCTGGGATACAGTGAGTACTCATGAAGGTGAGATACAGTGAGTACTTAAGCAGCTGGGAAACAGTGAATACTCAGGAAACTGGGATACAGTGAGTACACAGGAAGGTAGGTTACAGAGAATACCTAGTGTGTTAGAGTGAGCACCAGGTGTGTGTGTGTGTGTGTGTTACAGTGAGCACCAGGTGTGTGTGTGTGTGTGTATGTTACAGTGAGCACCAGGTGTGTGTGTTGCAGTGAGCACTATGTGTGTTACAGTGAGCACCTAGTTTGTGTGTTACAGTGAGCACTACGTGTGTGTTACAGTGAGCACCAGGTGTGTGTGTGATAGTGAGCACCGGGTGTGTGTGTTACAGTGAGCACCAGGTGTGTGTGTTACGGTAAGCACCAGGTGTGTGTGTTACAGTGAGCACCTGGTGTGTAGGTTACAGTGAGCACCAGGTGTGTGTTACACTGAGCACCTAGTGTGTAGGTTACAGTGAGCACCAGATATGTGTTTGTTACAGTGAACACCAGCACCAGGTGAGCGTGTTACAGTGAGCATCAGATGTGTATGTTACAGTGAACACCAGGTGTGTGGGTTCGTGATGTGGTGGTTAACGCTCTCGCTTCACACGGCGAGGGCCTGGGTTCGATTCCCAGCCAGAGTAGAAACATTGGGCGTGTTTCTTTCCACCTGTTGTCTATGTTCCCCATCAGTAAAATGGGTACCTGGGTGTTAGTCGACTGGTGTGGGTCGCATCCTGGGACACTGACCTAATTTGCCCGACATGCTCAGCATAACAAGTGGCTTTCTATGTAGTAGTATGTCATTGATGTCAGCTAGGACTGTATACCTTGTACATGTACTTGTAGTAAATAAAAATTATATTATATTAATATATATATATTATATATTATATATTAATCATCCATTCCAGACTTAGTAGGTGTCTAGACACCTGTGTTGAAGTGGCGAGTCGTCTGTGATGGACTGTGTGTGTTTAGACACCATGATGGAATATCTGTGCAAAAGCCTCAGCTGTTGCGGGTGTCTATATAGACGCCTGAGTTGTTGTGAGTTTGTTTGGATACCTGAGTTGATGCGTGTGTCTAGACATTTGAGGTAGTGCGAATGTTTGCTTACACACACCTGGAATGGTGTGAGTGTGTAAATACCTGAGGTGATGAGAGTGTGTGTAGACTCCTGAGGTGATGGGAGAGTGTGTAGACACAGGTGGTGATGGGATAGTGTCTGGACACCTGTGGTGATGGGATAGTGTCTGGACACCTTTGGTGACCGGAGAGTGTGTAGACGCCTATGGTGATGGTATAGTGTCTAGACACCTGTGGTGATGGGAGAGTGTCTAGACACCTGAGGTGATGGGAGTGTGTCTAGACACCTGAGGTGATGGGAGTGTGTCTAGACACCTATTCTGATGGGAGAGTGTGTAGACACCTGAGGTGATAGGAGAGTGTCTAGGCACCTGTGGTGATGGGAAAGTGTCTAGATACCTGTGGTGATGGGAGAGTGTCTAGACACCTGAGGTGATGGGAGTGTGTCTAGACACCTATTCTGATGGGAGAGTGTGTAGACACCTGAGGTGATAGGAGAGTGTCTAGGCACCTGTGGTGATGGGAAAGTGTCTAGATACCTGTGGTGATGGGATAGAGTCTAGACACCCGTGGTGATGGCAGAGTGTATAGACGCCTGAGGTGATGGGAGAGTGTCTCGACACCTGTGGTGATGGGATAGTGTCTAGACACCTGTGGTGATGGTAGAGTGTCTAGACAAGTGTGGTGATGGGGGAGTGTGTAGACATCTGAAGTGATAGGAGAGTGTCTAGGCACCTGTGGTGATGGGAAAGTGTCTAGATACCTGTGTTGATGGGATAGAGTCTAGACACCCGTGGTAACGGGAGAGTGTATAGACGCCTGAGGTGATGGGAGAGTGTCTAGACACCTGTGGTGATGGGAGAGTGTCTAGACACCTGTGGTGATGGGAGAGTATCTAGACACCTGTGGTGATGGGAGAGTGTCTAGATACCTGTGGTGATGGGAGAGTGTGTAGACACCTGAGGTGATGGGAGAGTGGTGATGGGAGAGTGTCTAGACACCTGTGGTGATGGGAGAGTGTGTAGACACCTGAGGTGATGAGAGAGTGTGTAAACACCAGAGGTGATGGGAGAGTGTCTAGACACCTGAGGTGATGGGAAATTGTCTAGACACCTGTGGTGATGGGAGAGTGTCTAGACACCTGTGGTGATGGGAGAGTGTGTAGATACCTGAGGTGATAGGAGAGTGTGTAAACACCAGAGGTGATGGGAGAGTGTCTAGACAACTGTGGTGATGGGAGAGTGTCTTGACACCTGTAGTGATGGGAGACTGTCTTGACACCTGTGGTGATGGGAGAGTGTCTAGACACCTGTGGTGATGGGAGAGTGTCTAGACAACTGTGGTGATGGGAGAGTGTGTAGACACCTGTGGTGATGGGAGAGTGTCTAGACACCTGTGGTGATGGGAGAGTGTCTAGACGCCTGAGGTGATGGGCGAGTGCCTAGACACCTGTGGTGATGACAGAGTGTCTAGACACCTGTGGTGATGGGAGAGTGTCTAGACACCTGTGGTGATGGGAGAGTGTCTAGACACCTGTGGTGATGGGCGAGTGTCTAGACACCTGTGGTGATGGGAGAGTATCTAGACACCTGTGGTGATGGGAGAGTGTCTAGACACCTGTTGTGATGGGAGAGTGTCTAGAAACCTGTGGTGATGGGAGAGTGTCTAGACACCTGTGGTGATGGGAGAGTGTCTAGATGCCTGAGGTGATGGGCGAGTGTCTAGACACCTGAGGTGATGGGCGAGTGTCTAGACACCTGAGGTGATGGGAGAGTGTCTAGATACCTGTGGTGATGGGAGAGTGTCTAGACACCTGAGGTGATGTGAGAGTGTCTAGACACCTGTGGTGATGGGAGAGTGTCTAGACAACTGTGGTGATGGGAGAGTGTCTAGACACCTGTGGTGATGGGAGAGTGTCTAGACACCTGTGGTGATGGGAGAGTGTCTAGACATCTGAGGTGATGGGAGAGTGTCTAGACACCTGTGGTGATGGGAGAGTGTCTAGACACCTGTGGTGATGGGAGAGTGTCTAGACACCTGTGGTGATGGGAGAGTGTCTAGACACCTGTGGTGATGGGAGAGTGTCTAGACGCCTGAGGTGATGGGAGAGTGTCTAGACACCTGTGGTGATGGGAGAGTGTCTAGACGCCTGTGGTGATGGGAGAGTGTCTAGACACCTGTGGTGATGGGAGAGTGTCTAGACGCCTAAGGTGATGGGCGAGTGTCTAGATACCTGAGGTGATGGGAGAGTGTCTAGACACCTGTGGTGATGGGAGAGTGTCTAGACACCTGTTGTGATGGGCGAGTGTCTAGACACCTGAGGTGATGGGAGAGTGTCTAGATACCTGAGGTGATGGGAGAGTGTCTAGACACCTGAGGTGATGGGAGAGTGTCTAGACACCTGTTGTGATGGGCGAGTGTCTAGACACCTGAGGTGATGGGAGAGTGTCTAGATACCTGAGGTGATGGGAGAGTGTCTAGACACCTGAGGTGATGGGAGAGTGTCTAGACACCTGTTGTGATGGGCGAGTGTCTAGACACCTGAGGTGATGGGAGAGTGTCTAGATACCTGAGGTGATGGGAGAGTGTCTAGACACCTGTTGTGATGGGCGAGTGTCTAGACACCTGAGGTGATGGGAGAGTGTCTAGATACCTGAGGTGATGGGAGAGTGTCTAGACACCTGAGGTGATGGGAGAGTGTCTAGACACCTGTGGTGATGGGAGAGTGTCTAGACACCTGTTGTGATGGGCGAGTGTCTAGACACCTGAGGTGATGGGAGAGTGTCTAGATACCTGAGGTGATGGGAGAGTGTCTAGACACCTGAGGTGATGGGAGAGTGTCTAGACACCTGTGGTGATGGGAGTGTCTAGACACCTGTTGTGATGGGCGAGTGTCTAGACACCTGAGGTGATGGGAGAGTGTCTAGATACCTGAGGTGATGGGAGAGTGTCTAGACACCTGAGGTGATGGGAGAGTGTCTAGACACCTGTTGTGATGGGCGAGTGTCTAGACACCTGAGGTGATGGGAGAGTGTCTAGATACCTGAGGTGATGGGAGAGTGTCTAGACACCTGTTGTGATGGGCGAGTGTCTAGACACCTGAGGTGATGGGAGAGTGTCTAGATACCTGAGGTGATGGGAGAGTGTCTAGACACCTGAGGTGATGGGAGAGTGTCTAGACACCTGATGTGATGGGCGAGTGTCTAGACAGGTGTATTTACAGTACCTCTATGCATTTATTTACCTCTTAACTTCCCGCTTGCCAGATCTACTCTCTCCTTGCCAGGTGGGCCCTGACATACCCACTCTTAAATCTATGCATGGAGTCTGCCTCCACCACATTTTTGTCCAAATCCTAATCCTCTTCCACCTGAAGAATTACTTTTTGAAATGTCTATGATACAACTGTGTCTAAATTCAAAGTGTGCCCACGAGAACCTGTTGTACCCTTAGCTTTCTGTAGTTCCCCCTGTTTGCACATGGAACAGCTTTCTGAATCGTTTGTTTAACACGACGCAGACTTGTCATTTCTTATTTTTTGTGCTGGAATTATTACTGAGATGTACAAAAATATTCTGTGTATATACGTCTGTGATGGACTGTGTCTTCATATTTAATACTGCTGCAAAACCTCTCTCGCAAAACACTTTACTCACATGACACCTCCCGCTCACACTCTCTCACCAGCACACTCTCACTTACAGCTCTGTGGGTAAGAGGGTTCTACGGCAGCAACGTCATGTGTTTTCCTTTGCACATCAACGAGCCTTACTTAGTAGGGTGGCAGTACTCTGCTTTCATATTCCTCGGCCTTAACATTGTCAGGTGAGTCCTGAGTTGATCATGCAATGCATGTATACTGGGAATAGGGAAAGTGAGGATGTGTATTGAAGTGAGAGTGTGTAAGGAAGGATATGTCCAAGGGGAAGGGTGGGTACTGATATGTCCAACGGGGGAGTGTGTGCATGGATATGTCTAAGGGGGAATGGGTGTATGGATGTTATACTTGGTATATTTGCCATAGGCATGCCTCTGGCAAGACAGTGATGGAGTGAATGATGATGAAAGTTTTTCTTTTTCGGACCACCCTGCCTTGGTGGGAGACGGCCGATGTGTTAAAAAATTGTTTCTTAAAAGATGGTTATTCTTATTATAGAAATATTTGGATTGATTTTGGAATTATTTTGGTGTGGAGTTTTACGACTCTAACCGCGAGTTCAAGCCCCGCCCGTGGTATGGTTTGACTGTTTTTTATGCTTTAATTTCTGAGTGTCACTTCTGATTAGCTTCAACCATTATGAATTGATAATGTAACGTCTCAGACAACACGTCATACACTGTATGTGTGTGTCTCAGACAACACGTCATACACTGTATGTGTGTGTGTGAGTCTCAGACAACACGTCATACACTGTATGTGTGTGTCTCAGACAACACGTCATACACTGTATGTGTGTGTCTCAGACAACACGTCATACACTGTATGTGTGTGTCTCAGACAACACGTCATACACTGTATGTGTGTGTCTCAGACAACACGTCATACACTGTATGTGTATGTGTGTGTCTCAGACAACACGTCATACACTGTATGTGTGTGTCTCAGACAACACGTCATACACTGTATGTGTGTGTCTCAGACAACACGTCATACACTGTATGTGTGTGTGTGTGTCTCAGACAACACGTCATACACTGTATGTGTGTGTGTGTGTCTCAGACAACACGTCATACACTGTATGTGTGTGTGTGTGTCTCAGACAACACGTCATACACTGTATGAGTGTATCTCAGACAACACGTCATACACTGTATGTGTCTCAGACAACAGATCATACACTGTATATGTGTCTCAGACAACAGATCATACACTGTATATGTGTCTCAGACAACAGATCATACACTGTATGAGTGTCTCAGACAACAGATCATACACTGTATGAGTGTCTCATACAACAGGTTCAGTATGGTATGCTTCCCATTTCGTTTTCATTTACAGTGTATAATTTTTTGTTCGGTATTAGATGAGAAGCCAACTGCTCCCTCCTCCCTTATTCTGTCTTTATTACCTTCCTCTAAGTCGATAATTTCCTTAATTATATATTAACTAAAATTTATATTTTGTTTTTATTAGTTTAGCGCATTTAGTATTTAGTTCGCATGAATGAATTAATACAAAAACTAATAATAATGATAATAATAATTTGTTAAGCGATAAACCCATGTAGGTAACTCAACGCTAGATGTTTTGAAGGTTTGATCCTCCGTCTCCTTACCGCGAGACAGACCGAGCTTCCTGAAAGAACGGTACGAGGCTCATTGTGACGGTCAGAGATCTCTTACACCTGTGAATCTCAGAGTTCTCTTACATTGTGACGGTCCGAGATCTCTTACACCTGTCAATATCAGAGTTCTCTTACATTGTGACGGTTCGAGATCTCTTACACCTGTCAATATCAGAGTTCTCTTACATTGTGACGGTTCGAGATCTCTTACACCTGTGAATCTCAGCCTCAAATTCCTGTGACTCGCTTCTCCACTCTCCTAACCACTCAAATATACCACAGATATATTTTGTAAATAAAACACTTTTTTTCAACACAATATTTAACTGGAAAACATTTCACTTTAACAAAGGCCCCAGAAGCGACCGTCTTCCTAATGAAGCGTTCTAGTGTTTCCACGTACATTGTCTCGGTGTACGTAATATCAAGCTTCATGAAGAAGATGTATTTCATTGATTTATAGTTTTTGTCAGTCTTTCCAATTTCTGTCATCCAGTCATAAAATGTAATGTAAGTAATGAAATTGGAATTACTTCGTGCTTTCCATGTTGTATATTCAGAGGCAGTTGTCTGTTATTTAGTGTTTTTTTTTTTAAGTCTCCTTTTTAATAACGATTATATAGTTGCTGTTACCCTAATGTCTAATATATTTCAGTAACATTTAGGGTGTAATAAGTCTTTATTAATATGTTTGTGTTATGAGTGGATGAGTGGAACAAACTCCCGAGTACAGTTATTGAGGCTAAAACGTTGTGTAGTTTTAAAAATAGGTTAGATAAATACATGAGTGGGTGTGCGTGGGTGTGAGTTGGACCTGACTAGCTTGTGCTGCTGGATCTGGTGCCGTGCTCCTTCCTTGAGTGGAGGTGACCAGACTGGGTGGGTCATTGGGCTAATCCGGGTGGGGGGGGGGGGGGGAAATGGACCTGCTCCGCATGAGTCAGCAGTAGGTCTGTTGCAGTGTTCCTTTTTTCTTATGTTTTTATGTTCTTACATGCACTTAGTTGCACTTATTTAATATACTGCGTTTGAACTGCTTAATTAAGAAGCATTGGCACCGCTTCTTATTTCGTGTCGGCCATTGATGTTGAATCTGTGTAGCAAATTAGCTTAAAATTTCTCTTGTTTTTACACATATTTACTGATATGAGACAGAAAACGTTTCAAACCTTCTTTTAGTGTCTTTGCCTCTGCTGTTCCACTAACTTTCTCTCACCGCATCTTAAACAGATTATTCCTATTTAATCTACATATTCCAGTCAGTACTTCTGTATGTTGTTATCGTTACCTTCCGGGATTTTATCTCATTTATTGTTCTACAACTGGAAATATAAACACAAATGCAGTATAATGTGATCCTTTATTGACTACGTTTCGCCCACACAGTGGGCTTTTTCAAGTCACAAACAGAACTACCTGGGGTGAACGAACGAACGAACGAAAGTTCAGGTAAGATCCCAAATGGGATGAGCGGGGAAGACGGGACAGACGAAGAATAGTGCTGGAGAGGAGTGTTCTTAGTCGTAGAAATAGAGCCAGGGCTTAACCCAGCAGCAAAGGCGATCGTGGGACAGATATTGAAAAGAGAAATTCCGGTTCTTCTGTTGGGACTCCGGTGGGGTGAGCTGGGAGTAAGGGACTTGCGACCTTTAGAGCTAGAGAGGAGTGCAGAACTGAGTCATGTCTTAACCCAAAAAAGCTAAGGCGAACGTGGGTCAGAGAATGGTACCTGTCTTAGAAGGTACCTGTCAGTGGATCCAAGGTTATTTGTAAGTAGGGTTAGGAGCAGGATCATGCAAGGAGTAGAAAAGGTTGTGTTGGTTTGTGGGTCTGCGAATGTCTTCGTCAAGGAGAGAGGTCCAGTAGTCATGTCGTGTCTCAAGTTTGTCTGTCTGTCACTGAGCCTCTTCCAGTACAGATTCAGCGCAGGGACGTCTAACTGGGCATGGAGAGACTCGCTTGTGGCGAAGTCCTCCCATCTGACATCAAGCACCCAGCGCAGCGCCTTGTTCTGGACACGCTGCAGCTTAAGTAAGTTTGTTTTTGCTGCAAGAGAGAGGGCTAGAGGAGAGTAAGTTATCAGAGGACGTATTAGGGATTTGTAGAGGTGTAGTTTGGTGCGTTGAGAGGCATGTTTCAGCTTGTAGAGGCCCGCAAGGGCCTTACTAGCTATTGCATGCCTTGAGTGAATGTGTCCGTGTAAACGAAGAAGGTAGTCAAGATTAACGCCAAGGACAGTGACAGATTGTGTGATAGGGAAGTAAGTGCGGGTGTCAGCTGTTCTGAGTTCGACAGGTAATGGAGGATCACGTTTCCTGTAGTTAAAATACGTAATGCTGGATTTTGCTGCATTGGTTTTGATCCTCCATTTTTGTTCCCAGATGGCTATCCTGTCAACCTCATTTTTGTGTTTTGTGTGTGAGTGTATCTATATTGCATGAGTGATAAGTTTGTGTAATGTCGTCTGCATAGCTTAGTGTGATAGGATTTGTGGTATATAGTGTTGGAATTCGTTAGTGTAAAAAGAATGTAGAGGTAGGGGAAAGGACAGATCCCTGGGGTACTCAGCATTTAGTTGTGAGTAGTCAGAGTAACAGCCTTGAATTTGATTCTCATGGTAAGGGGGGGGCGGCCGTCTAGAATGGCAAGGATTTACGAGTATTGAAGGCAGTTGAAAGTTAGTCAGAGTTGTACTTGAGCCCTTGCGTTGTCACACAGTGTCAAAAGCTCTTCAACGTCTTTTGCAACAGCTGTCCTGGTTCTTTGTTGTGTTTATGTGGATGTAGTTGAGAATGAATGTTAATGGCATCCTGTGTGGATTCTGTGTGTTCCAGAAGCCAAACAGCCATCTGAAAGTAGAGAAATATGTTCCAGGTATCTGCGAAGCGATTGATTAAGGAGTTTTTCAAAGCGTTTTTCCTAAAGTTCGAGAGGCGAAAAGGGCAATAGTTTCTATGGACAGATTGGTCTTTATTGGTTTAGGAAGGAGGATAGCAGTAGCCTCTTATGAAGAGGGAGGGAAGTATCCAGAGGCAAGGGAGGCATTAAGTTTGTGAGGCAGTAATGATAGAGTCCAGGAAGGTGTTTTCAGGATAATATGGTTTAGGCTGCCCGAGCACCAAGCCTTTGGAAGGAAGGTCTGAGGATAGTTTTTAATTCTGTGTTGGTGAAAGGAGTGTCCGAGTTTCTTGGGAGGAGTAAGATGTCTAGATTATTGGGCTTTGCTAGTTGTTGTTTCTTGTTTGTGAGCATGTCCAGTGTTCTATTTCTGAATGTGTTGAATACTTTAGGGTGAGGTGGAGAGCGTGGAAGATGTTCTCCCAGATGTTTTGAAGATGTTGGTAGCCGTGGGCTGAGATGTGTGTGTTTTTGTGGGTGATGTTTTTTTAAATTTTTTGTTTGGGGGGAGTGTGCCGATTTTTTGATAAAGTTCCAAAAGGGCTTTAGTTTTTTTTAAACCGTGCCTGTCCGTTTTTTTTAGTCGTACCATGTTTTGTTGTTTCTTGGTCTAGGCTTTTAAAATGTTTTTTCTAAGGAAAA